GTTAGATGTCGGCCCAGAAGCTTTATGGATCTCACGTCCCGCTGGCTCCACTTTCTCGAATACTCTTGGGGATTGGTTCTGCAGCGACAGCAATAACCGATCCTCGAAGAGGAGATATGGTAGCAGCGATGGGAGAAACTACAGCAGTCGGGCCTGTGCTGGAAAATATCAGAAGGAGGATGGAGTCGGATAAAATAGGGAAGAAGCTTCTCATGGAAAAGCCCCGCATCTCAAATGAGACAATTGACAGAAAGTGGCTGGCACAGCTACCAGATGGCACCTTGGGTAAACATTACTCAAAGTTAGTTGAAGAATTACTCATACCAAAGATGTATCAAACTTCGAAGCAATAATTCAGTTACAACTGATGCTCCCAAAAGAGTGGGTCAGTATCAAAAAGATTAACTTTAAACATTTCAGTTTCTTGGAACGTTTGAATACATCACCTGATGCTCGACCGACTGTGAAGTATATTGATAATCTGGAACATTTATATGTTATGCAGAGGTAGGAAAACGAACACTTTCAAGCTTATTTTCAGTTTCAGATATCGAGAAACACACGATTTCACTCATATTGCTCTCGAGCAAAAGACTAACATGTTGGGGGGAAGTTCCAGTGAAATTTTTTGAAGGAATTCAGTACGGATTACCAAGGTGTGAATGTGGTGGTATTTTGGGAGGAGCCAGACTTTTGGCAAAGTAATTGCAGAGGATTAAGAGGGGCTGGCATGACTTTTCAAAAATTACAGGGTNNGATGAATAACCTCATAATAGAAAAAGGTTCACGACTTTCAGAGAAAATGTTTCGACTTTATGAACGGTTCTAAACGGGATCTGTTAAAATATCATATTTAAAAATTCATATAATTCATGTTACAAAGAAAGTATACATCGAAACCGATTCTAATGGGCATTACGGAATAAATAATGGTTTATGAACTGAGGGGCAAGAGAGTAAAAAGGGAAGTATTTAAGCTGGGGAAAGTGCATCAACTCCTGGGAGAACTTTTCCTTCGAGAAGCTCCAAACTGGCACCTCCTCCGGTCGAAACATGGGAGACCTTATCTTCGGTGTTATATTTCTTCGCAGCAGTAGCGGTATCGCCTCCGCCGATGATAGTGATGGCTCCCGAGCTTGTTGCTTTGACAACTTCATCCATCAAGGACTTGGTACCAGTAGCAAATTTGTCAAACTCGAAAACTCCAGCTGGTCCGTTCCAGACAATAGTCTTGGCGCGTTGGATAGCAGCTGCGAAGATCTTAGATGATTCTGGTCCGACATCAAGTCCCATGTGACCATCCGGAACACCTTCTTGGGCTGTGGCAACATTAGCCGAAGCGTCTTCAGCAAACTTGTCAGCAACAACGAAATCGACTGGAAGATGAATTTGGACGTTTTTAGCTTTAGCAGCTTCCAGGAGTTCATTCACGATTTTGGCTCCTTCCTCATCATACAAAGAGTTTCCAATTTTGACACCCTGGGCTACTTTCAGGAATGTGTATGCCATTCCTCCGCCAATGATCATCTCATCGACCTTATCGAGCAAGTTCTTAATCAACTGAATCTTGTCAGCGACCTTAGCTCCACCAAGAATGGCAAGGAATGGGCGAGCTGGATTGTCGAGCGCCTCAAATATCAAGGTATACAGTGAAAATTAAAACCGATCGCAATACCTTGCTGAAATAAGAAAGTTCGTTCTTCAAGAGGAATCCACTAGCACGTTGAGCATGTTCAACACCAACCATTGAGCTGTGTGCTCGGTGAGCTGTTCCAAAAGCGTCGTTGACGTAAACATCTCCCAACTTTGTCAGCGACTCGCGGAAGGTCTTGACAGCAGCAGCATCTGCCTTGACCTTGGATCCAGAAGCATCAACTCCTTTTCCTTCCTCCTCCAAATGATAACGAAGATTCTCGAGGAGGATCACAGTTCCTGGAGCTGGGTCGGCGCAAGCAGCTTCCACTTCCGATCCTACACAATCGTCAAGGAAGAGAACATCCCTGAAATAGTAAAAGTAAAAATAGAAAAGTTGAACTAATCTACTTTTTCAAGAGGGACTTGAGCTCTTCAGCGACTGGCTTCAAAGTGTACTTGTCTTGACGTCTTCCATCCGGGCGTCCCAAATGGGACATCAGAACCACAGATTTCGCTCCATTTTTCAAGGCGTGCTACAATTAAAAATTGATCAGTATCTGCGACTTCACGATGATTAAATTTAACATACCTCAATAGTTGGCACAGCAGCAGCGATACGTTGGTTGTTGGTGATTTTGCCCTCTTTCAGTGGGACATTGAAGTCGACACGGATCAAAACTCGTTTCCCTGCGAGATTCAATTGATCGATAGCCAACTTATTCAATGAACTCATTCTCGGCTCTAAATTTAGATGGTAAGTTTGTAAGGGTGAACAAACGAGAAAGCAACGAGCAAGAGCAGTTGAAAGTAAAAAGACATCACATTGATTTGGATAGGCGCCGCACGACGTGAGAATTGACCGAATTTTTCTTCTCTCTTTTCGCTTGACACGCTAAACTCGCAGAGACGCAGGGAAAACGGCAGCGAGACTACTGACAGAAAAAGTTCTAGAAGAGTTTCTGACAACAACAACATACTCGATAAGGGAAAACACTAAAAGATAAAAACATTGCGTTTTTTGGAAAAAGATAGATCGAAAATAAGGACAGAAATCTTTCAAATTAACTCACCACCTCATAAAAACAAAGAAAGACTTGTTTTCTTTCAATGTAGTGAATTGAAGAAATGTTCGGAACGAAATTGGAACTTTCGTAATTTCAAACCGGAAAATTCAAGAAGCTCTTTTTCAGAATCAACTACTCAGCACTTTCAATTTAGGAAACAGCGGCGAAGCGGTGGCGAAACAGTGGCGAAACCCTTTGCGGAACTAAGTTGTCACACTGTTTCCTAAGCTTAGGATTCGTCTGACAGAACTTTTTTTATAATCAAAAAACCACACGAAATCGCATTTTTGCTGTGTTTTTTGACTATAAAAAAGTTTTATCAGGCGCATTAAAAATTCATCCATACGAAATGAAGAATAAAGTATTGCGGTTCTTTTGAGCTATATAACTTCTAGAAATGTCAAAAACTGAAAGAGGAGATACATTTTTTCTGTAAAAAATCTGGAAATTTGGTCATTTTTGTAATATTTTCTTCCGGAAAAGGACCATACAGGATTTTACAACCACTAATTATTTTTTAAAGAATCATTTGAAGCATCTTTAATCTCCACAAAACCAGATAAAAAATCCTGAAAATATGGCTTTAGACCTGCAATTGTGATCGCGCCATACTTTTTTCTGTAGATCAAAATTTAATTTGTAGTTCGGAAATGTTCTGTGGGAGACCGTGAGTCGTTGTATATTCTATCATTCCGAATCGGAATTTCCGATTGTGTTTTTTCTTATTAGCGAACTCTCCCTGCGTCGTTTTTATCAAAGATTTCCACTTAATTCCTTCGATCCCGCAATTTCCGGGGAAGAAGATTTCCTGGGAAAAGTGGGCGGAGTCAGAGGGCGAAGTCTAATTTGCAACCCTATCACGGGGAAAAATTTTCCCCGGAATTTGAGGGGTCTCCGTTTGGCTACGGCCGCGCGGTAACATCGCTCCACTGCATATGCCGCCAATTTTGAATGTCGGCGGACAGGCCGGCGTTGCAATTTTCCCAAATAGTCAATGCACTTTATTTTCATTTTCAGCTCATTCGCAAGATATCTTTTTTGACTCAATCTTCCGCTGTGATCCCAAACTTTCGACATGGAACGGAAACGTGCCGCACGTAGCACGATCGTCCCAGGCAGAGTGCGTAATTTTGCCCAATTTGGCTTGCAAATCAAAATTTTCAGAAGCCAATCACTAAAATAGCTGCTTTACATGAGCAGGGTTGTCAGATGACATGTCATATTTAAATGAGAAAAGCGTCTTGAACGAAACAACTCAACTGAATGAGACAGGCGATGTTGAAGAACAAGTATGGAGAAAAGAAGGTTTGGATGAGAATGACATATTTAAACGACAGGAGGCTCGCAAACAGAAGCAGATGAGAGATGTGAGTTTACGAATCCAGTGGATGGAAAATGCTGTAGTGTTCCATAATTTGTCCATTTATCACTTAAAATTTAGGCAGAAGATCGTCTGAACAGAGAAAAATATGGAGCCAAGGGATTCGAGGACATGCTTGCCCTTCCACAATATTCTTCAGAGCGCGAGAGTGACGAAGACGACCACAACGAAGAAAATCAGAAAGCCCCCGAGATTCCAATATTTGCGATCCCTTCACTTCCGAAGCATATGAATGAAAAGTCAATGCTGGGTTCACCGGTTGCCGGTAGTAGAGGAGTAAGTTTCAATACAAAAGTACGTTAACTTTATCGTAATTTCAGAGCGGGAAGGCAGGTCTCAGTTGTTCAACTCCAAAAAGTGCAAACGATGTCTCCATGCGTTCCCTTAGAGCCCTCGACCTGTCGCATGTTATAAACACGGATCATCTTGATGCTAACAAAACGGTACAATATTTTTTTCGAACTTCTGAAATTCCTTTTTTTTTACATTGGTCAAACCAAAAATGTGCTACTTCCAATCATCGAGAATGGTGAAGAATCAGATCTTCAAAAGACTCATACTATTCAAAAAATGGCAAGTAGCGAAGGATCAACTCTTCAAAAGACTCATACTATTCATGAAGATGGAAGTAACGAAAGAAACTTACCTACTCCAGAAGAAAACGATATCGCTGACACCGATGTTCGCAACCCTTCGAATGGTATTGTACACTCATCAGTAGAAGCAACTGAAGTAGAGGCAACTAACTCGACTTTACAAAAAACTTTTACTGTCGTTCCTGAAGAAATACAATTGTTCACAATACGATTGAAGGAGGCGAACAGAAGAGAAAAGCAAAGAAAGTTGGGGCTCAAGACAGAGAAAGGCGTGGAGCAAATCTTAGTATGTCTCTGATGAATTCTATGATGGAAGATGTACCTTCTTCCGGCGCCAATTTATTGAAACATCCGCTGAAAAAAGTTAGGCCGGAAACGAAGAGCCCACAAAAGCCACGAGTTATGGGTAGACTCAGTACAGAATCAGACAAAGAGAAGACTATTGAGATGGGATCGATTGCTGAAGAGTCTTCAATAGCTGAATCGATGGGATCCTCATATGTAGATCCTGTTCCAGAGAACGCAACTGCTTTTTCACCAGTTCCTGAAGAAGAAGAACCGATGGAGATTGCGAACACCACTCCCAAGTAGGTTATCAAAAATGTTCCCTGTTAAGCTTCATTTCATAGATCAACCCGCCGTGGATCAAGCTTCGTAACTCCCCACAGTTTGATGGAAAGAGCAAGAGGAGGGACACTTTTCTCAACTCCAGTTCCACCAGTTGTTGACGCCGTCACACCCAAACTTAACTATCAGAAACAAACCGTTTCATCAGCATTAAAAATGAAGGGTGCTCCCAATAGCTGTGAACTTCTTGATGTGGATCGTAGATGTCGCTCAGGTCCGAAGAAATCCGTCAATGTGGCCAGAGAGTCACCGAAAGATAACGATGATGGGAATGGAAAACCGGAAGACGTTGTTATTGATGATAGCAAATTGAATGATGAAGAAATGTGTGATGTGACGGTTGAAATGCCCCAAAATGTCGAACAGGCAGCGAGCGGTGTAGAACTCGATATGAACGGATTGACACTTCATTCAGCTAACGTAAGCTATAACTTGGACCATGACGGTTTGGATGATTTCCATGGAGATCCCAATTTTGAAGATGAAAGAAACGAAAGTGAGGATGCTGGGTCTTCTACCCGCAGAACAACTAGAAGTCGAATTGGATTACTCAGTGAGTTGTTCTCTTCAAGATTTCTCTAAAATTGTTAATTGTTCAGGTGACTCAATCGCTACTGTGAATTCGCCTGGCGTCGATCGTCGTCAAACTGGGAAAAATTACAGGAATGATACTATTCCAGAAGACTCGTGGGATTCTGATGAAGAAGTCGTTTCTAGAAGGCGCAATGATGTTAGAAACACTGTAAAAATTGGATTGCAGCTAAAGAAGAGAGAAATTAGTGAGTGTCAAATCCCCAGTTTTTCATTTTTGAAGATTTCATCCATTTCTTCTACTCATAGTTCCTTTTATTTCAAATCCATTTTTGAAAAAGAGAATCACACCCAGACCGTGGCACGAGTGTACTACTGATATTTACGGGGACCTACTGATTTTGCACAGCAAACCTAGTACGACCGAAGCAAGCAAAAATTTTTTTATACATAAGGGGGGAGCCTTATGTGATTTGGAGCTACTAATATTTTAAAATTTTACCTACTGATGTTTCGGTCGTGAAATTTTTAGTACCAGGACCTGAATCACACCTTCAGATGAGCTTTGGAATAGATTGCTTCTAGTACAGGATTTACAGGATTTACAGTATATATGATAATTCAATTTTATAATTTTTTTCCAGTTCAACCTGACGATGCAACGAATGGTGTTAGACGATCTCAACGCAATAGAGTCAAGCCTGTTCGGTCGTGGCTTGGAGAGAAACCTGTGTACGTGAACTCTCCAAGCGGAGGAAAGAGACTGACTGGAGTTACTGATGTTATTATCAAAGACAAACGATTGTGCAAGTACAGAACTGGGGACTCGTTCTAGCTAATGAGCGAGAGAAAAAGACCAAGGCTCGTAAGAAGCAATTAGCTGCTAAGAGACGAGAGCAACTTTCGCGGGATCATCAAAGAGGGTATCGGCTGAACGAATCACAGGAAGACATTTTCACTGATGACGAATTATGCGATTATACTTAATATTTTTACTGTTAACATCTTGTTTTAAAGTTCTATTTACCTGTAAATAGGCCTCCAATATTCAGTGTGAATATGAGCCGTCGAATCAAATTTTAATTTTTTTTTTGTTTTTGGTTATGATTATGTTTTTGCGCGGTTCTGGATTTTATCTGAATAATTCCTGTTCAAGAATATGACTTATCTGTATGTGATCGTCGGCTCAGTAATATACCAATTTTTAATTTTGCTAATGGATGTGTATCCGGTTGACATAAGTATTTGGTGCGCTGAGAGATGTTTATCACCACACCGTCATAATCGTGCTAAAGAAATAGGGGGATTGAAGAGAGGGGCACACCGACACAGAAAAGTATAAATAAGAGAAGAAAACTCGACATATTCATGCACGCCACCTCTCGTGTCGGTTGGTTTTGGTCTACGCCTTCCTGGCAGAAAATCAGTAAGTAATTTATATCCAACTTGTTTGGTCTCAGAAAAAGTGGCAAGTTCTGGTTAACGACAGAGAGGGAGAGAGCGAGAGCTAAGATATATGCGTCCAAAATGCATGTAGACTTCAATTTCCATTTTTTGATAGCTATTTGGCCACAAAACGCATCGCCGCCAGACTAGAGCAATAAGTGAAAAAGTGTAGGTTGAGCTATGCTTCTAGAATTCTAGCTAGAATAAGGAGTTGCAAATATGGGTATCATATGGGAACCCTTCCTTACAGCTAGTACAGTTACATTTAGTCATGTTTCATCATAATTAGCTAAGTGGACCTGTTTGTTTGACTCCTCTTATTGTCGAATTAAAAAAAGTGGGACCTGAGAATCGCTTTTTTTTGATCTACGAAAAAGTGCGGCAAAAACGTAATATTTCAGACTTTTGGCTCGTTTGAGCTGATTTCGCAATTAAGTTCGGTTTTTCGATGAAAAACAGATTCTAGAGATGCTAGCGATCATTTTCATACCAAGAAATCTAAATTTTGTCCAGAAGATCAAAAAAAGAATTCACAGAAATAAGTTTCGTTTACTACTGTAGTGATTTGAAGGCAAGGTCTCGAAAATTGACCGGGAAGCCGCCCGCGAAATTTTCCAGGTCCACTTTTTTTAATTCGACAATATGCTGTTTTTGTTATACTTCTACCGTAAAACCTCTAATAGAACGACACCCGGATCGTCCACTTTGAGCCTATATATCTCATTTTCTGTGAAAGATATCAAAAAGTGGCTAACTAGTAAAATGTTGCTGATATCCTGATAAACATTTTACTAGTTAACGACTTTTTAATATCTTTCAAAAGAAGTGAGATATATAGGCTCAAAGTGGACGATCCGGGTGTCGTTCTATTAGAGGTTTTACGGTAATTTGCCGCACACGTGATAACTCAAACAGCAGGGAATACTCTGATAAGGTGGGTGACCAAATTGCAACACTTGTGTGCTCCGGGTTGTAACGAGAGTGCGACTTGTTCACAATTCTGAGAGTTTTATTATTGAAAGCTGAATTATGACACTCATTCAAGATTATGGTGAGTATTGTTGTCTCGTTTTTATCCATTCACTTAATCCGTCACACGGTGTGATAAGCAGATCAGGGATTAGTGAAGATTCGCGTCAGGGCTCATTCATGTAAGATATTCTAGATAATGTACACCTATTTCTTACTTCATCAAACCAAAAAACAAAGGCGTAGTCGGACACAGGAAGGTATGAATTTATTTTCAGTAAGGCTAGTATTCGAAAAAAAAGTGTTCCAAAAATACGGTTCGTCCGTTCTTCGAAACACTGGAATTTATTCAAATTAAAATAGGTTCGCAAATAGAATAGAATATTTTTGTGAGAATTGTTATATTTTCTGCACAATTATTGTCTCTCATAAGATGCATCTCTTTTTTTAAAGTGTGTTTCGCGGAACAGCAGGTTACAGTAGTTTGAATGGGCAATGCAATGAACCTAAAATTGGCAGTTGTGAGGCTCTTTTCCAACAATGAGCTCACAAAGGCCCTTATTAGGTTGTTGAGAAGCTCTGCGTCCCTTCTTTTCTTCCGAGAACCATTAAAGAAGAGGAAGTGTAAACTGGACGGAGGGGGACGACAACGAGAGGAAGTCGACGTGGCGAGAATTTATATCTGACTGCTTTGTGTGCGCAGTACATGCGGTTTCCTATCCCATCCGAATGTTGTATGAATGCGATATAAGTCGGATCTTCTGTCGAATCTCGATCGTTCTTCACAATGTTATGTGACTGCATCCTTCAAATGAAAACAAAAACCGATTAATAAGATTGCAATCCTAGTTTTCAATTCAATATTGCATCGTTCTTCATCGAAGAATTCTGTCAAGAGTATTAGATAATTTTCTTTCCTGGCTGTTTTTTTTTTCTTTAAGATCCTTCTGATCTCAAATATCTGATAGCAACCTTTTGGTAGCTCATCCTTTTTAACTTGAGGCTTAACGAGCACATTTTACTTTTAGGCCATCCGAAATGCTCCGCTTTTCCGCTCATTTCCAATTGCGCCCTACGGCAACTTGTCAAAAGCGCCACTGTTAAAATACGAATTTTGGGTCACGTTGTCTCCTCTAACATTTTTCAAGTAAATAATCTACTAACACAGTCTTCAATTTCAATATTTCCCGATTTTTGAGCTGTTATGAATCTAACATCGCTCATATTCGCTAGTTTGGGTATGTCGATACACTTCTTATTTATTTTTAGGCAAATAGTTAGATTTTTATAATATTGCTAAATTTTCAGTTCGCAGAATGCCGTGCCGGCCAATCGTTCTTTCCGGACCGTCCGGTGGTGGAAAAAGTACGATTCTGACGAGAGCGATGAAAGAATATCCGAACAGTTTTGCTTTCAGTGTGTCTCGTGAGTATTGCTTTGTGAAAGAACAATCAATTAAATTGTTCACTTCCAGATACCACTAGACAACCGAGAGCCGGCGAAGAGCACGGAAAGCATTACTACTTCACCGAAAAAGAGAAGATGCAGGCTATGATTAAAAACGGAGAATTCCTCGAGCACGCAACATTCAGTGGGAACACTTATGGAACCAGGTAAGACACGAAACAGTTTAAAGGAGGCGAGACAGCAAAAATTTTGGGGGACAGTTTGGGGGACGAAATCGCGCCGCGCTTATGTAGGCCATCGGTCGTCAGCCGTGTTTGCGCCCCCGTAGCTCAGCCGGTAGCGGCGCTGTACCCCTGAGCTGCCTGTCATGAGTTCAACCCCTCATGAGGGTTCTCTAGGCAAAATATCAGGAAAACTTTTTTTTATGTCTGGCCTCCTTTAAACTAATTCCAAGCCAACCAACTTTTACAGCAAAAAAACTGTCGAGGAAATCGAGAAAAGTGGAAAAATTTGTGTCTTGGACATCGAGTTGCAAGGAGTTCGTAATATCAAAAACAGTCATCTGGATGCTAGATACATCTTAATTCGTGCTCCATCCATTAAGCTCCTCGAAGAAAGGCTGAGAGCTCGAGGAACTGAAACCGAGGAAAGTTTGAAAAAACGTCTGCAACACGCAGAAGAGGATCTCGTTGAAAGTAAGTGTTTTTTTTTCAAATTTTGCCAATAGATATATCTTTCAGTTGAGAAGAATCCGACACTTTTCGATAAAGTGATTGTGAACGACGATCTTGAGCGTGCTTACAAGGAATTCGTTGACCTTCTTCGTGAGGATCTCGAAAAAACGAAAAAATAAAACAGTCTTCCTTCGCTCCTCATTATCTTCCGCATTCATTCCGATCCCTTACTTGATGAACGTCTTATCATGAGTATCGCCGATGTTTTTGGTTGTGGTACTCCATCCTCTGAAAATCTTTCCATACTGCTTTACTCTTTTTTTCTTTTCTTGATTTATTGCGTCCATTTTCAGATTATATTTTCAGTTAGCTTTTTCTTTTCAGACAGCACATTAATTTGGTTATATTTATTTATAATAAATTTTAGTTTTTTTAAATGATGGGTTTCACAATTTATTCACTGTCATTGAGCAGAGAATCTACTTACGAAAGGAAACCTGATGGGTGACATAAACAAATGAAATATAGATGAAATCAAGACTTCCGCCACTTCCTGCTCTACGAGATTTCATTCACATGTACCGGCTACGCGCAAAAAAGATTTTATCACAAAACTATCTGATGGATATGAACATTAACAGGAAGGTATAAAACAACGATAAAATGGGTAATCGTATCTACACACCAGGGGCACTTTTCACGCTGAGCTATTTTTAAAGGAAACTGTTTCACACAGTTTTTCCCGTGACATTTTAAAATGAGAGCCAATAAAAAATGAGACACGTGGATCCACAGTATTCACATGATGCGAATTAGAGTGAATTCAAGTTTGTTCCCCCAAATAGATAGATAGGTAGTACCTCAAAAGTCGAATCAGTATTACTGAAGTCGAATCAGTATTGAAGTGCTCCTTTGACTACCTCCTTTGATTTTCAGCCGTTTTTTCCGTTGTTTTGATTGAATCATTGTCTGATTCTAAAAATACTGGCACCTGAGAGTTGAATGCTGTTGCTCTAATATAGATTTTTTTTTTCTCGTTCGAACAGTTTTCGCAATCAAGCTTGGAATTTCGATTTAAAAATTCTAGAAATTCTAGCCACCAAAATGTTACCAAGATCATAATGTTATCAGAACATCCCACTAAATTCAAAGAAATCAATTTCGTTTGATACAATGGCGGATTCAAAGACGAGGCCTCGTAAATCGACACGAACGGCGCTCGCGAAATTTTCAGGTGCCAGTTTTTTGAAATTTGACAATATTGGTTGTTTTTGCTAATTTTTATGTAGAAATTGTAATGGATTTTTAGTAGAAAAAACGAAATTTTCACTGAAAAATGATGCCCTCCAATAGAATATCTGTTCTCGAGGACTCACGAAAAATACAAGTCCTCCCTCTAATTAAAGAACCCTTCTAATTCCTCGGGACCCCACGAATGATAGAAGGACCGGCCCTTCTAATACAGGTTTTACGGTAAATACAAAAAAATTAGCAACTTAAATCGGCGTATACTAAAAACAAGGCCCCTAGAAGTAAAATCAGCCATTAAAAATTATTTTCAGCTTCTAAAAAGTAGGCTTAGCCTTTAAAAAACGTTTACCGCACACACACACACTCTTAAAAATCAGGCTTCGAAAAAAAAATTTTAAAAAACCTGTATTAGAAGGGCCTCTTTAATAGAAGGGTCCCTCTAATAGAAGAGCCCTCCGAGAGGGTCTTGGAAATAGAAGGAATAGAAGGGCCCCCTTTAATAGAAGGGCCTCCTGTAATAAAAGGACCTTCTGTGAAAAGGACCTCTTTTCAAAATGTGTTTTAAAATCAGAAAATTTTCCGTACTTTTTCGGTGGAAAATATTCGGAAACTCCACAATTGAATAGAAATTTGTTGAAACTCTATTTTTCGATGAAAATCTTGCTAAATTTTGATGAAATCGGCAGGTTTTCATGAATGTTGAACAAAATTTCGTCGAATTTTTCGAAGCAAAAATTCGGAAAAAAAACTGGCCGGAAAAATAGAAAAGCTCTCTCTAATTGAAGGTCCCCTGTAATAGAAGGGTCCTCTGGAAATACCTTGGAACAATAGAAGAGCCGGCCCTTCTAATACAGGTTTTACGGTGAGAAAAGTAGGCTCAGCTCTTAAAAAGTAAGCTTAGAACCCTAAATTAATGGATACAAAAAACAAGTCCGTCTGAAAGTCAAATTAGCCCTTTAAAGTTACTTCAGCCATTAAAAAGTATGCTTAGAGCTTGAAAAGACATTTACAAAATGTGGAAAAAGTCCCTAGAAAATTCTGAATAGCTATGCGAAAAAGTTCCCTTTTCTGGCAATACTTGAAGTTTGTTTTCTGATCCCAATTTATGAATCCCAATTTATGAAAACATTTTTGAATTTTTACAGAACATATGTCTCTCAATCGATTCCGGAATTGTTTTTACACATTTATGAAAGTTATGTTTTTCCAGTTTATAATATTCGAAAATAATTTTTTTGAATCCCAATAATTTTTTTGAATTTTCAAATTAGTCCTTAAAAGTAGGAAAAATCCTTAGAAAATGCCTATGCAGGAAAACAATTTCCTCTTCTTTTTTCTGAACAGTTGGTAATGTTTTTCCAGTTTCGGAAACTCCAAAAACTACCCCAAGAATCATTTGAATTTAAAATCAGAAATTCGAAAAAAAAATAAAAAGTTGAGTTTAAATTTTTAAAACGTGAGGTATATAATAACCATCGAAACTTCCTCTAACGTGCTCCCGATTAGCCTTGTGGTTAACAGGGATGAATTTGAACCGTCGTTGGTTCGAGTTCTCCCCAGAGCCTAGTGGTTTTTGTCAGTATACAGTAATCGGGGCAAATCGGTAACAAAACACGGGAAATGCCCCCTGGTGTGGCGATACGATTGCGTCGAAAAAATAATAAAGTACACGGTTTTTCACATAGATCGCTAAACATGCAAAAGTCAATGAAAATGATTGGGTCATTGAAATCGGATCCGGTCCGGGAGGCATTACAAGAGGAATTCTGGAAGCAGGAGCATCAAGACTCGATGTGGTTGAAATTGACAACAGGTTCATTCCACCATTGCAGGTGCGTCAATCGTTTTAAATATATTGCCACCACCTGATAAATAAAAAGTGGAGTAATGGGAAATCATGATAAATATAAATCATGATAAAAATATGACGATAATTTTTGACGAGGGAAACATGCTCCGGGAAAGGATTCAACAAATTTAAAAGTCGGGAAAAATCAGATATCTGATTTTCCGAGAGAAAAAAAATTCAGGAAATAAATCTGATATCCGATTTTCCGAAAGCGATTTTCCGAGCAATCCTGATCGAAACACATCTAATTTGATAATTAATTTAATATCTAAATCATACATTTTATTATCCAAAAAATTAGTTGAAGTGGCTATACAATGAATGTAATTAAATGCAAAATTTCCCTTCCCAGCATCTGGCTGAAGCAGCAGATTCTCGAATGTTCATCCACCACAAAGATGCCCTTCGAACAGAAATCGGCGATATATGGAAGGTATGCTGAAAACCCCCTTCTGGGAGGGAACTCCTCTCTGAGCTGAGAATATAATTAAATATTTTCTAGAAAGAACCAAATCGTCCGAGTTCTGTCCCTTGGCATGACTCAAAATTACCACAGATGCATGTCATTGGAAATCTCCCTTTCAATATTGCTTCTCCACTTATCATCAAGTAATCAAAAAATGATCGTATTTGAATCATTCAATTTCTTTCAGATACCTCCGCGATATGTCTTATAGGCGTGGAGTTTGGGAGTATGGTCGAGTGCCTCTTACGCTAACATTTCAATTGGAAGTAGCGAAAAGACTGTGTTCTCCGATTGCTTGTGATACTCGTTCTCGTATTTCAATAATGGCTCAGTATGTGGCAGAACCTAAATTGGTTTTCCAAATTTCAGGTGTGTCTTTTCATTCCTGTTTTAAAAGTTATCAAAATACATACCGTAAAACCTGTATTAGAAGGGCCGGCCCTTCTATTGTTCCAGGGTACCTCCGGAGGGCCCTTCTATTAAAGGAGCCCTTCTAATACAGGTTTTACGGTAATTCATTTTCAGGTTCATGTTTCGTTCCACGACCTCAAGTAGACGTTGGAGTTGTTCGATTCGTTCCTCGGAAGACGCCACTCGTTAAAACATCGTTCGAAGTTCTTGAAAAACTATGTAGACAAGTGTTTCACTACAGACAAAAATATGTGGAAAAAGGGCTGAAAACGTTGTACCCGCCTGAAATGGAAAATGAAATGGCTGATGAGTTGCTGAAGAAATGTCGGATTGATCCAACTACAACATCCATTAAATTAGGAATGGAACAGTTTGCAGATCTTGCAGAGGGCTACAATGAGCAGTGTATCAGGTTAGTCGGGGGGGGGGGGGGGTTGAACCATGAATAGTAGAGAAATTCTCTGATATTTTTTATGATCTACATTAAAACCGAGAGCATTCAATATTCTCACTGGAAGCATCCTAGGATCCTCCAGTTGAATTTTTGGCATCAAACTTTTGAAATCAAAGTTCCAGTAAACAATAATTGTCCTATCTCAAAATACTGTAAACACTCGAATAGAATGTCCCAAAACCGTCAATTTCGAAAAACTTTCTGTGAAAGATATCAGAAAGTAGTTAACTGATAAAATGTTTATCATAAAATTAAAAACATTTTGTCAGTATGGATAGCCTAATTTGGATAGCCTAATTTCAAGAAAAAGTTCAATTAGAAGAGCCAAGAACTTCCCAGTGAGAAGTTGATCGTTAATTACAAAGAATCGAGTTTCACGTGATTCGACACCTACTTGTGCAAGTAGACGGATTAGTAGTTTTTTAAACACCAATGATCATGACCCAATTACTATAGCTCAGTGAGATCAGAACAGTATTCCCATGGCAATCAGTGTGTCTTATCGACAAAAATTTTCTGATTTTGTCGACAAATTTACTTCACAAATTATCGATAAATTTGTCGATAGAAAACGATAAAATTTTTCCGATAAATTTCGACAAATTATGGTTTAAGTGGTAGACAAAATTTTGTTGGCGGGATGGTCGATAAACTTGTTGTTTGTTTTTGTCGATAAAATTGTCTAAGTGGGCAGTTGTCGTCAAATTATCGACAAAAATTGCTATTGGCCGCGGGAATTAGTAGTAAAAAATAGTATCTCATCTTTATTTTCTAGGCCATCTGACCTGGTGGCCTAATTTTTCCAACATGAATTTTCTAGGCCACCAAACTTTTTGACCTGAAAATGATCTGATGTTAACATGGTGGCCTAACTTTTGCAATATGAGTTTTATAGGTCACCGATCTTTTTGCCCTAGAAATGGTCAGATATTACACCTGGTACGTTT